CTCCCTTTGGGAGTATTGTTTTCTGACTGTCTGTGCTGTCTGGTAGTTAGGATATACACCTAACCCACAACGAGGGATGCTAGTTAATAATTTACAATAAATGCATTCTTTACCTTTCCTTGGCAGACAATGCCGTTTAGGTGAAAAATGGCCTAAGTATTTTACATGAATGACTTCTAGATGATGTAGCTTTTGCAGCTAATGAAACATTTTTCGCGTTCACCCAAAACAGCTAATTAATCACTGAAGGCAGCTATAAAAGGTGCAAAGTTCAGATTGAGCAGTGCTTGCCTCAAGCCTAAAAACCTGAGACTGACTCTTTAACTGCTGATAAACGCAATATATACTTATATAAGGCAAAGAAATTCTTTTGAACTGAGGATCTGTGTCCTATGTAGTCACACACATCATTCCGTGATTTATAAAAAAAAAAAAATCTTACATTTATAATATTCAACTCAGCTAATCTACTTTTGGAGGCATAAAATTAGACTGTGGCCCTGTGGGATTCATTTAAGCTGAACTTAAATTAACAGTTGTTTCTTGCACACGGAAAATGCACATTTTATGTGCAAATGCATGTATCTAGAAATAGAAAATGAACAAGCTGAGYGATTTGTATACCAAAGCATTAGGCTGCATGCATCCCTGAATAATAGGGATAGCCAATAAGTATGAATATCTGGAAATAATTCTTTTTCCCACCARCTGAACCTCAGCTCTCCCTTTTCAGCATCGATATGTTGGGTGCTTATTCTGTAAATCAACCGATAATATTTACAAATGAAGTTCTTTATGCTCTGAATTTTTATTAGACTTTTTTTTTTTTTAAATTCGATGGCACACACAATGTGGTACCTTTCCTTCTTGAAATTCATACAGTTCCCGCTGTGATTGACAGGGTACAGCTTCATTATGCAGTTGGCTGSATGGGCCGATTATGGCTATGAATGTGTGAATGGGGTGAATGAGAGAAATGTGTAATTGATTCTGGCCGTGGTTCATTAACAGTGTGAATGCACCGCACTCACATCTGTAAAGCAATGAGAGAAACTTACTTGTACTTTTTCAGTTGTTTGGAAAAACTCACTGTGCCAATATTTTTGCTATCTAGTGTCACATTCTCAAAGGAAAAGGGAAGAGAAAATTACATTGAAAGTAATTTACATCAGTCCTCCAGGTTGGTKTTTGAAGCAGTCACTTCTCTTCATCATTTTCAGCTGAAGTTTTGTTTCATCCTTGTCCATACTGCTCTGCCCTTTCTCCATAGCAGTGCAATTAAAAACTCGTGTGATAAAAAGCAAGTTAAGATGTATGGACTGACTTTTTAGGAAAAAAGACCAGAGAAAATAAGCCTCATCAGCCTTTTTATGCATAAAGTTTGTACTCTAAAGCAGTTGTAGTCTCATTTCTGAAATACCTCATTTCCTTGTAAACATTGTTTTAAACCAACAGCTTCATTGGCATTAAAAGCAGTTTGGTCCATTGCTGTGGCCTGCATCCCAGATGAGGATATGCCTTGGGGGCTCTTCACCYCAATGTACTATTAAAAATGTAAGCAAACATCTCTGCTCTGTGTACACCAAAGTGATTTATGGRCCCATGGATTGCAGCTTTCTTTTTAATGAAGTTTCCTATCAGTGTGTTTGGCTGGAAGACTGACCACAGTAAATCAGCAGCTTCGCAGCAGTGCTGGCAGGTTCATTTGACATAAAAGTTAAAATACTACAAATTATGAGTGTGAAATTTTCTGAGTGCTGAGTGTTCCCTGTTTTGATCTGTTTACTTGGTTTTGAAGACCATAAAAACATGTTTTGGTTTTTGGGAATTGTTTGCATCCCTTCCTCCTGTTTGACCTCACTGAGAAATGCTCAGACCCGAAAGGGTGCAGAAGCTAAAGAACAGACAGGAAGCTGTTTGTATAACTTGTATAATCTCAAAGGGTTTTTGCCCACCTGCAAACCTTAAGATATTTTGGAACAGCTTGAGCAGAATAATGTGTAGTTTAGGAAATGTATTTCTACACTAATTTTATTGACGAAGTACAACAATAAAATTATTACTTCCCTGTTTATCCACCGACCATGGCATGTTAGTTATGCTGCTCTGCTAATAAAATCTTTATCATGTGTTTCAGAATAATAATGTGCCTAAGAAAAGCACTTTTTTTGCCAATAATATGCTGTAAACAATTACAATAGTTGTGATGTTTTACAAACCAATTAATAGAATCRTGGAAKGCTTTGGGTTGGAAGCGRCCTTAAAGATCCTCTAGTTCCAAAGCCCTCAACCACAGGATGCTTCCCATAGATCAGGTTGGTCAGGGCAGATTCAATTCATAACCATCTTCTGTGTTCTGCTGTCTAAAGAGCCACCTATGATGGGCTTGRAAAGATTAAAATGTAAAAGCTAATAACTGCATTAAAAGTTACCTGTTTACATGAAGTGGCTGGTGCAGCACTAGGAGATTGCTGGCGAGGTGCTATGAAAGTGCTAAACTGGGAAGCTTAAAACTAATTTTAATAATGAAWGACTAAAGGAGTGGAGTTAAAGATTTAGGGAGTGAAATGCATCTAGAAATTATACTGTGGAAGTTTTATGAAAGAAAGACCCTGGCAAGGATTTGATGCTTGATCTGTTCCCCAAAACTCCTTCTTGCCTTTAAATGATCAGTAAATAATTTAAGCCATTACAGTTCAGCTTTCAAGGAGCTGCATCTTGAAATGCAAGAAACTCAGCCTTAGCTGAAAGAGGGAAATGTTCATGACTTTTCTTTTGTTATTTAYCCTTTACATATTTTTTTAAGTTGGTTTTGTAGTCATTCCTTTATTTGCTTGTTGTCTGGTGGGTATTGTGAATTTCAAATTCATCACRGTACCTCTGATCTTAATGTCTGTAAATGTAGAATGAACTTGACTGAGATGAGATTCATGRGTATATTCCTTTCCCTGCAGAAGTGTAGAATCATAGAGTAAATTAGTTTGGAAAAATACTTCTAAGGTTATTGAATCCATCCAATAACCCAGACTGCCAAGTCCACTGTTAAACCATGTGTCTTGCTCAGTAATTAAAATCCACCTGTTGGTAAAATCTAAAGTAAAAGAAAAGGAAAAAAAAAAAAAAAAAGTCTGGAGGTTTTTTTTCTTCCTCTGAGGTTGCCAGCACTTCCAAATAGAAATGTTCCTTGGAAAGTTTCAGCCTCTAGGAAACTGTTGTAGTCATGGATGGAAATTATAGTCTTTGCTAATGGAAGTACTCACACAACCTTATCTCTGCACRCAGAAGCAGATTGTAAGCTAGCTCTTTCCTTTTTTCAAGTCCTTTCTTAATAGTTCTCACTTAGGATAGTAGCTAAAGCACGTGTAAGAGTATAACTCCTTTCTGAACCCAGAGGCTGTTTTAGTGTCCTGCTGTCATCATGCTCGTCAGTGGATAAAAGCTCAACACCTTCTTCATGGCTCAGTTGTAGGGAGGGTTCTCTGGAGTTGCTCTCTGGCAGCTGTGACATTCAACAGAAATTGTCCAAGCTGTCCGTCGTGTTCCTACCACTGGAGAAAATTACTGTAATAAAAACAGAAAGAAGAGTACTCAACCTTTTATTTACTTCTCAGGAGGGGGTTTTTCTGTAGCAGTTTGAAGTTTAGCTCTTGTAGGTTTCAGTTTCTGGGCACTGGAAATCAGATGTGTTTTTATTTGGTGATTTATCAATAGTTTATGGGTAATATGTAGCAAATTTTTGGAAATTTTCAGAACATTATGGCTCAGCGTAAAAGACACCTTTTAAGTAGCAGAGAGCAGGGCTTGACAGATGATATCTGAGTTGAAAGAAAAAAGACTGTACATTTTAATGTTAATTTGTCCATTTTCCCTTATGTTTTGGCATATGTTGGATGGAAGTTATCAAAAACAACTTGGACAAAGAGTAATGATGTTAATTCTGTAGGATTTGTGAGTAAATTAAAATATTCTGGAGTGTAGCAAGAGCAGATGTCGCTTGGAAACCTGACCCAGATGGGACAGAAACACAACCCAACCAAGGGGACCAGCAGTACTGCGGTTGAAAACGATGGCCTAATCCCTGTTTGTGCAACACTGAAAAGAAGAAAATAGTACCACTGTTTATTTCTGCTATATATTATAGGAAATTATAAAGAAAGAGAAAAAAAAATTACATCTGCCACCAAAACTCCTTTTATTATGTTCATATATACTATAGAAGAGTGATGTTTAAAAAGTAAATGTTCTTCATAATAGTTGGGGAGATGGGAAGGGAGGAGATAAAAAAAAAATGGTAAGTTTTAATTTGTAGATTTCTTTTCAAGACTTTTTTACTCAAGGGTCTTTAATTTTTATTATAGCACTTTATAGACTATGATTGATTTCAGCATGTGTTTTTGATGAGTCCAAAGGCATCATACCTAAGATGACTGTGCTTTCTGTTTTTGCTTGTTATAAATTTCTTCAAACAGAATATTTTGTTTTACTGCACGGTGTCTCCATCTGGTCTGCTTTTTTGAATAACCAACACATTCCTAAGTCCCAACTTTKCTTCTTTTCAAATGGTTGCTGGGGAAAACAAAGATGACCTGTTTATCACCAATGATGTGCTGAGGTTCTGTGGGTTGGGCTTTCCCAGTGAGCGTACTTCAAGGAGTGAGAATAACTGTTTCAAAGTTCTGCAGTATTTACAATTGTAGAGGCCTAAAGATTTAGAGGATTTGTACAAATATTTGATCTCTCCTGCATGTGCCTTGCAGGAGACATGTAACAAGCAATCATTGCATCTTTCTCATTCTTTCCCTTTAGTCTGAAGTCTTCAAAATTAGCCTTTACTGTTTTCATGTTTAACTCTTGCACAAGTAGCTTATGATGTTTTCCAGTTATATATATTTGTGTTGTTATTCCTACCTTTGTGTATAGGTACAGCACCAGATTGGATTGATGTGCTATATAGTAGCCTCTTTAAGGTTTATCTTCTTTTTTTTTTTTATTCACTGCAGATGTGATCCATACTGTTGGGCCAATTGCAAGAGGCCATCTCACTGACACTCATAAAGAAAACTTAGCAAGCTGCTATAARTCCTCTCTGAAACTGGCAAAAGAAAACAACATCAGATCAATTGTAAGTACTGTGGGAGAACATATTATGTTTTTTTTTTCTAATTTGGATCTTAGTTTCCTTGATGCAGAATAATTATGGTTGTAAGCTTCCAGATACATTTCTTGCTGTTTGTGATGTGAAAGCCCAAGGAATTAAACATGATTTGGCCAAAACAATTGCTAGATTAAAGGGCTAAGCTTATTTTAGGAGTTAGGAAAAGTGTGCCTGGTAGTAGGAGTGGAGGCAGCTGTCTCATTAATGAAGGGAGGAAGCTGTTTCCCATGGCTCAGAAGCCACTGGTCAGGAGAATAACTGCAAAGAAGAAAGTATATATGAAGAGTAGCCTCCTAAAAAGCTGAGAAGTGATTAATTTGTTGCTTATTCTACCCGCTGATGTTTTCTTCCAGAAATATGGGTACTGGTCAATTGTCGCTGGTTATAGCACCCGCTCACCAAAATTGATCATAAAATAGCTTATTATATGATATTCCATTGACCTATAAAGGTTCTTGAAATACATGGTGCAGTTTTGTACCTCAAAAGGCCAGATTTTCAAAGTCCACAGARAAAAGGAGCTTTTCCCACCAGCTCCAGAGCTTTAGTTCTGTAGCTCAAACTATTGCAGCTTAAGTCTTTAGATATGCATAGGTTAGTTCCTTGGAGTTTGAGAAAGAATTTTCTACCTGAGCCTGACTTTACACTTTTTGGGGTCATTTTGACTGGCTATGTGATAACACATATGTTTGGTAATTAAGAATGCACACACATCTTAAAAAATGTTAGCTGAACCAATGGTGTTACATCAAGGTGTAATATCCAGTAAGGGAAGCTATTAACACTGAAATGTCGCAAATGGAAAATAAAAGCTTTGTGAGAAGAGGGGCAGGACAGCTCGTAGAGCTTTGAACCCAAGTTAGATGTGCTCTTTAGAATCATACCTAATGAATGAATATCACTTCTTTCTTTCTTTCTGGTGAGAGCTCTTCACACTTTTTGTGCTCATGACATCCTGTCTCTGCTTCTCAAACTGGTATCCAGCAATCCCTCTTTTTGTCATTATGCCAACCATTTTGAGGTTTGTTTTCTCTGGTGGGTTTGTTGTTTTCCTAATGCTCGGCATAAAAATTAGAACTGAAAACAACCTTGGGTTGGTGGGCATATTTGCAACCCCTCTCTGGTGATGTTAAAACAYATAAGGTTGTTTGTATTCTGCTGTGATTCTCATTGGAGCCAGTAGCTCCTACATCCATCCCTGTTCCTGCCTGCTCTGGGCAATTGCAGGCTTTTGRAGCATTCAGGTTAGTGTGAATAAAATTCCTAATATGATGTGGGAAAAAGGGAAAATTTCAGTGGGCATTGGTCAGTGCTGGTAAGGCTTGTATCTGTAGGGAGTCTGGAATTCTAAGGACATTCTAGGTGGAAGCTTAGTGTTTAACATAGAATTATAAAATGTGGTTGTACTCATGGGTTTCCTGAATRCATGAAAACTAGCCTGATATTTTAATAAGAAAAGATAACCACAGGAGAAATCATCCGCAGGTTATTTCCTTGCTGGTTCAGAGTTGTTGACTGTGCACCTGGTTGAGATAAAAAATGCTCAGCACCCAGGCTTGCAGGACACAGCTGCACAAGCTGAKCAGGAGCCAAGAGCCATTCATTCACACCAGCATTTAGAAGCTTAGCAAGCAATATGGATTTTAAAGTCTGCATGACAGATCATGGACTGTTCTGAAAAGTCCTAAGTCCAGTGATTTCAGTTGTGCCTTRAGAAGTGGAGGCTGCTTGAGTGTCTGTCCTAATGAGCAAATCAAGCCTGGAGCAAAATAAAATGTATAATTCATTCAATTAGGGAGCAGTAGATTAATGTGAGTCTGGAGAAAAGAATGCAAAGTGTAAGTGAGTTTCACAAGATCYAGTACAGCAGGCATAGAGGAAAATGAAAGAAAGTAAATAAAAATATCTGTAGAATTCCTGAGACTTGCAGAGACCTGATAGAGAACAAAGCGTTCAAATTGACTCAAACATCATCTGAGTGTAGACTGGATTATGGCAACAGAAATATTTGCAGTACAAASAAGACAGACAGAAATTAGGAGGGGGAAAAAGGTTTTCTGTGTAAAATACGGGWGAGAAAATCAGTTGTGCTGATGGATGGCTATTTTGATTTCCTGTTTAGCAAGAAGATGAAATAAGTACATCAAAGACAAAAACAAGGAATTTTAAGGTAGATAATGGGTAAAACCAGGAAAAGCCATATATTTATGATACATAAATAAATAGGTATTGGCAATAGCAAGTTGCAGTATGCTAAAAGAATTAACTAAACCAATTAACTAAACCAGACAGCATCGGTGCACTAGCAATTGTAGTAACTGAAAAGGCAGCAGGAAGATATTAAAAGATTGTAACAACACAGATGTGTTACCTTCAAAACAGAAAGGACAGAAAGTCCTTCTTAATGCAAAAAGAGCAAAAAGCCCTACCACAACTGAAAGTATTTTGGACGTGAATTGTGTCAAAGGAGTTAGAATTGCTGGAGGCATTATGAATGGAGAGTGATGATGAATGGCAACGTATCGAGCTGGACTGAAGCGTGCAGGGTGACTCAGGGTGCACCACTAAATGCAGTTAAATGTAACATCTTAATGATTTTTGAAGAGTACATAAACAGCTCATTAATTGCATTAGCAAATGATACTACAATGGGCAAACACTAGAAAAGGACAAAGGTATATTGTAACAATTGATTTGAGACTGAGTATAACTTCATTCAGCATCCACTGCAGTACCAGAAGGGAATTTCTGCCTCTGTTACAATGGAAGAGAGGTCAGAAATGGAGCTGACAGCTATAGTGGAACTCAGCACAGGAAATGATGGAGTAACATATAGTGGGGAATAATRACCCAGTTCAGAAACAGTCAAAGTGTGTTGGAAAATCAGCACAATGAGGAAATGGTCTTGAATAATAAGCCTCAAATTAGATGTACTTAAAGCAGTCACTTGTTTCACTATTAAATATTGTTGATCTGCCTATGGAGAAATGATGGATGCCATAGAGATTGTATTTCAGTTCAAAGTGGACTGGGGAGAACAGGAATAGGATTCAAAACAGACCCAAACTCTTTTAGTACATGTACATAGTTGTTTTACACACTGAGGAAGGGAAGCAATAGCCTTGAAATAYCGTGTAAATTCTGAAAAGCAGTTTTATGGAGGGGAGAAGAGAACAATATCATTGTGTGTATGATAAAAGGACGATTATATGGTGTAGCTGATAGTAATGTGGGTTGTGTTCACATCCAAGGTGTCCAGGCATGGATGAGAGCAACTCTGGCTAACTCCTGGGGGAGCACTGATGTCTCATCTGAACACGTTATCATATTGATATCTAAAAAAATTAACAAGATGGGTACAACTGAAAATGAGAGGAGGGATTGTAATAAAATGCCAGTCAGAGTGGTTGCCAAGGTTCATAATCCACCAGCAGCCCAGCTGTGGGTGAGGATCTGCACAGCCATTAAGGCAGGAAGAAAAGCCTCAGGAACAAATTTGATCATCCACAGGATTGCTCAGAGAAATCACCCAGCCCGACATTTGTCTCCTGAGCCTGTTTTCTCAAACCTTTTATATCCAATATGAGGTTTCAAATGTCGTATCAGCTATTTTGCACATGGTTAGTCTCTCTCAGGTCATCTACTCCATCTGCCTCCTAGGTAAGCGAAGTTTGTTAGTGTTCGTCYTTGTTATCTTGCATTCCCAAATCCCCTCATTGCTTTTTCCTCAGCACTTGCTTATGGAGYTGTGCCCACTCCAGGACACTTGGGCTGCTCTCTGACTGTTTGTGTGGTCAGGCTTTTGTGTTGGATGAGTTGTATTTATACAATCCTTTGTCTGGTGTAAGAGGACACTTGAGACAGGATTCTGTTTATCTCTGCTTAAGTTGGTCCAGATGAATGGGAGAAAAAGTATTTAAGGCAGTTCAAAGAGAGTAAATTTGGCATTTGAGCAAATTAATTTTCTTATATGTTAAGAATAATCTCTTAATAATAAAAAATTTGTATTTTCATGTTGGCTTTTTTTGCACAGTACTAGGGATTGCTATCGTGCATCAATTAAATCTTTGCTTCCTGAAACACTGGGAATACATTATAGGCATCTAATCTTCCCTGAAAGAAGAATAGTGAAAAAATAGTCGAATAGATGTTTTTTCCCCCCGGTACTGGTTTTCTAAATAAGAGCCTTACAGGCCAATTATTTGTTAGGTTATCAGGCAGACTGGGGAAGTTATAATCACTRTTTTCAGATTTTAAATTGGTCCCCTGTTTACATGGTCTTTGAAATTATTTACTCTGTGTGCTCTGAGTTTYTTTGGAACTTCTCATCTTGCTTTTCTTTCCATACACTGCTTTGAAGCCATCTGATACCCTGGAAGCTTTTTGAACATCAAACACTTCCCTGCCACCTATTTTATTCAGTCTTAGCTTGTGGTTAAAAAAATCTCAATCAATTGCTGTCAGTCAGAGCCAGGATTGCTGTTAGACAGGCACTTTATGAACTGCACAGAAAATAAAAAAAAATATGGTGTGTATTGCTGTGGGTGGGATCCAAGCCAAAAGAGCTGCAGTTTGCAGAGAAGGGAAGCTGGTGCTGGTCCCTCACTTAGAAGACAGTGCAGGCTTCCTCCACAATGGTTACAGAAATGGAAGAGTTCTGTCTAGGACTACAACTCTGCTGTTGTTCAGGGCTGTGTTGGGAATTGCAGCCTTCAGGAACACTTCATGCTGGCAGGGCTGAATTGTAAAGCTTTAACAAGAAGCGTTTCTTTAGCCCACACCCTCTGACCTCCACCTCGAGGGAGAATTAAGSGGGATCAAGAGGGGCAGGAGGAAATCCTCAAAGAATGTGGCTTTGTGAGTTCCAGAAGGAGCTCTGCTTATCACCAACAAATGTRTTAACAGCATTATATAGAAAATAYAGATTTTTTTTTTCTTATTGGTCCCCTAGAGTCAGGTAGGGAAGA